TCCTTTAACAAGCTGAGGGAGTTCAGACAAATTCATAGCTTGCTGAGTTTTCATTTTGTCAAATGCCTTTTTCTGTATCATAATCATATGGTTTTGCTTCTGTAGTCTGTTAATATTCTGGGCTACTTGGTTTTCTTTTGTTATTAAAAACTTTTTTTTTTTTCATGGTGCTGAGCCCAGTATCTTGTGCATGATAGTCAATCATTCTAGCACTTCACCATGCCTTCAATCTCCTACCTTGCTTTTCAAATGCTGAACTGGCACTGCATTCCTAACACAAACCTCACTTGAATATGGTGTAATACTTCTTTATATGCACTGCTAGCTTTGATTTGTTTTATGAGAGATATTGGTCTGCTCTCGTCCTTTCCTATACAGTTGTTTTAATGTCAGGGTAACGGTTGTTTGTAATAGTTGCTTACTATCCTTTTGATGTCCATGGGATCTGTGGTGATAGCCCCTGTTTCATTCTGGACATTAGTAATTTGTGTCATCTCTCTTTTTTGGTCACCATTTTGCTCAAGAGTTACCCTTTTTTTCTTTCTTTTTTATGGGGGAAGTTCTGGGATTAGAACTCAGGGCCTTCTGCTTCCTAGGCAGGTGCTCTATTACTTGAGTCATGTCGCTAACCCAAGTTACAATTCTTTTCTAAGAACCAGCTTCTGTTTTCACTGATTTTCTCCATTTGTTTTAAATTTCATTGACTTCTGCTCTTTTATTATTTCTTCTCTTCTACATGCTTTGTGTTTATTCTTTTTTTAAAAAAAATTCTGGTTAAGATTGATATAGAGATTATTGGTATGTCATCTTCTTTTCTAATATAAACATTTAATGTTACAAATATTCCTCCAAATACAACTTCAGCTGTATCTATCAGATTTTGTTATGACATACTTACATTTTATTTCACTGCAAAATACTTCCTAATTTCCTTTAAGATTTTCTCTTTAACCTGTGATTTACCTAGAAACATACTGCTTAAGTTCTAAATGTCTGGGTATTTTCCAGTTACTTTTGTTATTGTCCCCTACTATAACTTCTGTAGGTCAAAGTTATATAACTATGTATCATTGCATTTATTATTTTAAAAAAATTTTTTTTTTGGTGGAACTGGGGTTTGAACTCAAGGCTTTGTGTATTTACAATACAGGCTTCTAACAATTGAGCCACATCTCCAGTCCACTGTGGGGTTTTTTTTTTTTGAGATGGGGTCTTGTGAACTATTTGGGCTGGTCTCACATAGCAATTTTTACAATCTCAGCCTCCCAAGTAGCTAGAATTACAGGCATGAGCCACTAGTACCTGGCTAGCCCAGGTGAAAAGTTTGCAAGGACCGCATCCCACAGAAAAAAACTGGGTGTACTGATGCGCACCTGTCATCCATAAATAGGAAGATCTCAATCCCCGCCAGTCCAGGCAAAAAGTGAGACGCTAGCTCCAAAATAACCAACACAAAAAGGGCTAGAGGTATGACTCAAGTGGTAGAGCACCTATGAGCATAAAAACCCTGAGCTCAAATCCCTCCCCCACCCCAAATCTGTTCCTTTTCCCAATCCACCTTTTATGATGTACCTTTTCAGACTTCTCAAATAGCTGCTCTATGCCAGGTGTTATACCTGCATTCAGTGGAAAGGGGAAGGTGAAAGGTGCTTGCTCTACCTTACCTATAACAGAATCGAAAGCCACTAAATTTTGAGGTGTTTTTTTTTTTTTTCACAGAAATAGGTAATTGGAATACAATCTAACTCGAGAAGCAACCACTGAAATATAATGGACACAAAATACCACATTTTTATAACCTTTCTCTAAATAAGTCACCAGATAATTATAAGGCAACTGTTACCAGTTCAGCAGTAGACTATTCTCTTTTTTACCTTGGCGCCTAAGACGCAAATTCAGTTTATCATTGGAATAATCAAAAAACAGCAATGAAAACCATGGAAGTCTCAATACATGTCAGTTTATTCTACTGTCAGATATAATTTGTTGGTACAGGTTCTGACATCTCATTCTTTCACATGCTGACCAGTCATCAGTCAGAAGAGCTAAAAGAATCTTGGGAGGTGACTGGAATGACAAGGATAAATTTAGAAAATGAAAATGCCTTAAGGGAAAATTTTTTTCTTCAAAGTTATTATTCTTGTTTAGAATTTCCAAAAGAAGGTTTATTATGCTCTTGAAAACAGTATTTCACTGGCAAGGAGCAATTTGTCCAGAATAGCCTACCAATTCTGCATAATTAAACACTGATTTTTTTTCCTCGGAAAAATCTGAGATGTTAATCGGGTCCACTGGCTTTCATAAGCTTTGCTCAACATAAGCAAATCACTATAAAGAAGCTAACTGTGTGGCTGCTACTGCACAACTACAGATAGGAAAGAACTGTCACATGAGTTAACAGGAACTTCCAGACACAGTAATGAGAGTCTAAATTGTATATGCACTAGAGAACCTCTCATATACTTTGCATAAGGAAACATGGTCAAGAGTATTTATTCCAGCACTGTTTATAAAGCTGTTTATAAATGCTAGCAATACATTACCTGTCCCTTACCATGAGAGTTAGTCTATAACTCATAAAAGAGAACACTGTATAACAGTTAAAATAAGGTCACTACTATGTATTAATTAAGTTTCAAAATAAGGGTGTATAGTTATAAAAATGTGATACATGTATATATAGATTCACATAAAATGTAAAATAATTCATATAAAATTTAAAACCAAGTAGAATACTATATATTATTTATGAATACCTGTAGATTCATATGTTATAAATGACATTTCAGTTAATAAGGGACTGCATATACAACAGAGGTGCCATAATGGAGCTAAAAGATTTATTGCCTAGTGACACCATAGTTGTCTTAATGCTGTAGTGCAAGGCACTGTTTGCATGTACACAGTAATGCTGGTACCTACTAACACTGCCAGTCATAGAGGAGTACAGCACATTCAGTCATGCACAGCACATAATACTTGGTAATGATAATAAATGATTACGGTACTGGTTTACGTATTCTCTATCCTTTTCATTGTTTACTCCTACTTATTAAAGAAAATTCACTGTAAAACAGCCTCAGGCAGGCCCTTCAGAGGAAATATACAAGGTGTGGTTAGCACAGGAGAAGAGAGCTCCATGGGTGCTACTGTCCTGAGGACCTTCCACAGGGATAATATGTGGAGCTGGAAAATGGGGACATTGATGATCCTGTCCTGTGTAGGCCTCGACAGGTGTGCAAGTGTTTGTTTTTAATAAAAAGTTTTAAAAAGTTAAAAAAGCAAAATTATAAAATAGAAAAAAGCTTATAGAATGATGTAAAACTTTTTGTCCAGCTTAAAAATTGTGTTTGTATTTTTAAGCTAAGTGTTATTACAAAAGAATAAAAAAGCTAAAAATTTTTAAAGTCTATAAATGAAAACTTTCCCAATAATTTATTAATTTGTTATTGAAGGAAAATATTTCTGTATTTTGTGCTGCTTAAGTGTGGTGTTTATAAAGTCCACAGTAGTGAACAGAGAAGTCCTAGAGCTTTAGTCAGTCACCATTCACTCACTGACCATCCAGAGCAACTTCCAGCTCTGCTGCTCCATCCATGGTTAAGTGTCTTATACAGATAAATCATTTTTAATTTTCATGGCAGTCTTTTTTTTTTTTTTTTTTTTTTGGTGGCACTGGGGTTTGAACTCAGGGCCTCATGCTTACTGCTTGAGCTACTCAGCCAGCCCTTTCATAGAGTATTTTAACTGAATCTTTTCTATGTTTAGAAACACAAATGCCATTGTGTTGCAATTGCTTATGGTACTGAGTATAGTCACAGGATGTACAGGACTATAGCCTAGGAATAACCAGCTATACAAGACAGCTAGGTGTGCATGAGGCTACATCACTAGGTTTAAGTACAGGCTATGTTTGCAGAGCGACAAAAATCGCATTTCTTAGAACGTCCCCGTCATTAAGTGGTACATGACATATATACAATTGTGTTGGCTTTACACTGCTGACAAAAAAACCCTGACGTAAATAACTTAAAGAGGGAATATAGTTCTTTGGCTCACAGTTTCAGGGTTCCAGTCGATCATGGCAGTGTGGCAGAAGAGGACAAGCTTACATCATGGCAGCCAGAAAGCAGAGACAGAGCAAGCCTGTGTTAGCAGGCTTCCTCCTTTTTCCGCTTTCATTCCATGAGATCCCATGAGATGATGCTGGCAACATTCAGGGCAGGTCTTCCCCTCCTTCGTTAATCTTGAAAAACACGCTTACACACACACACCAGAGGTGTGCTTTACTAATCTGGGCACTTCTTAATATGATCAAGTTGACAGTCAAAATAAACCACCAGCCGGGTGCCAGTGGCTCACACCTGTAATGCAAGCTACTCAGGAGGCAGAGATCAGGAGGATCACAGTTCAAAGCCAGCCTGAGCAAATAATTTGTGATTCCCTATCTCGAAAAACCCTTCACAGAAAAAAACAGGCTGTGGAGTGGCTCAAGGTGAAGGCCCTGAGTTCAAGCCCCAGTACTGAAAAAAAAAAAAAAAACACCAAACCGAAACTATGTAAGTAAGTACATATTAATGAAAAACACTAAAGTCACGATAGCAGTTGTCTCTAGAGAAGGGGAACAGATCAAGAAATGGTATACAAAAACTATTTGAAGCAAATATAGAAAAATACTAAGTCTGAAAAGACTTGGTAAAAGTCCTTGGGTGTTATGTTACTCTCTTTATTTTTGTTTGGAATATTTCTAATATAAAAAGAAAAAAGGAAAAAAAAATCACATGTACAACAGTTATATTGTTAACACTCAAATGTTTAATGAAAGAATATTCTGATATACATACATACATACAGCTAGGCCTCTAAGCAATGAAAAGTAAATTACCAACTAAACAAAAACCCCAAACTGTCAGATGATAATTACAGCTGCAACAAATACTGACTGAAAAAATACGTATGAAACATATGGGCTTGGTGACCATTTACAATATTCTACTGCTGGTGGAGTGGCTCAGTAGTAGAGCACCTGCCCAGAAAGCATGAGGTCCTGAGTTCAAATCCCAGTGCCACCAAAAAACAAACAAAAAGATGGGATGTACAATATTCCACTGTCACCAAGGGTGTAAGCTGACAGGCTGGGAGCCATTTGGTGCATGATTCATATTTCAGGACAGGAAGAAATACTTCATCCTTGAAAGCATTTCAACCTTCACATTTGGCTCCTCAATTCTAATGCTGTATGTTTGAAAAGGTATCTCTCTATTCAGGTGCTGCATTAGAAATACTGAGACCTGGAGTGGATCTTTGTATATTATAACATAATTCTGTTGCAATTTAATTACTAATTCATAATCTATTTTATCTCCAAAGGAGGAATGAAATAACATGTAAAGTTTTGTGCTTATAAAAAATACAATGAAACTGTAATTAAAGAACAAAAGATACATGTAATAGAGGATAAGGAAACAGAAAATTGAATTAACAACAGAAACTAAGGTTAGTTTCTGCAGTTGAATACTTTTAATTTTTCTGGCAACCAAAGCAAAACTGAAGACACAATGGTTTCACTGTAGTTTTTCCTTATCTGTTTAAAAACGTGTTTACTTACCAGCAACACTTAACTGAAGAAATTTGTGTGTAGAAAAACTGACTAAAAAATCTTTAACAATGGTTTTATAAAAAGGTAGAAAAGCACCCTTCATAGCTGACTCTTACACATCTGTTTTAGAAAAACCTCACAGGCTTATTCTACAATTCAAGTTCAGTGAAAAAGGTTTCTACACGAGCTAAAGGAGACAGGCTGGGTTGATACAGGGAGACAACTCAAGTGATAGACAGGTTTGCACAATATTGCCAGGGGTCAGGGATCTACTGTGGGTTTTTGACAGAAGTTGGTCAGCACACACCACCAGGCAGAGCTCCTTGGCGAGTGGTCTGGCAGTCAGCTTACAACATCCATGCAGTAACAGCCCAGGCACACCCCCTCACCTTTCAATGTTAGTTTCCCTTTACACCAGACAGGTTCAATACGCTCTTGCAAAAGGCAGCAAATGGCAGCAAAAGGAAGAATGACTAGGACAACCTACACAGTTTAATAGCAGATTCACTGATCTTAAACACAAGATTAGAGAGGAGTAAACTAAAAAAAAAATCCTTTTTTTTTTTTTTTCAAATTAGGGGAAAGTGTGAATGCAGTCTCCCACTACCACAAATTATGCAGTTGAGTTTCCCACATTTGGGGAAATTGCAGGGGTCAGCACACCCAGTACAATGGATAAGCCCCACCTTGGGAAAACCACCTTCATGATCATGGTATTTCCCAAAGAATCCTTTTACTAGTCTCCATCGAATGTTCATTAAACACCGAAGTACACACGTATGTATACATGCAAAACTAGCACACAGTGTTTGCTTTCCTGCAAGTAATGTTTCTCAGTTGAACTGTCCTGTCTTTTTAATTTTGATCCTGACATTGCTGAGAAGCAGAGCTGTGGTAAATGACGACAGCTCAGGTCTTTCTAATCTGACTTCTTCACTTCATCTTCCCACGCTTTAGACTGCCTCACATTGAGAACAGTCTCAATGTACACCAGTTACCTTTCCTATTCCTCTTTTATTTCAGATACCAATCACCAATGACTTCTATGTAGAAACTGAAAGTCCGCTGATCAGAATTAGAGTTCAAAGTCCTTGGCTTCTCTTCTGTGCCAGATGACACGTCAGACATCTCCAACAGCTAAACTCCATCAAAGAGAAGCATGTCCACTGCTTAATAACTCAGTAGCAGCATCAACACAAACAGGAGAGCAACAAATATAGCTTGAACTTTGTACTATCGCCAAAAAAGCCACAGCCCAGAATCCATCAAGGAATAAAAATTTGTGCTCTTTTGTAGTATATACTCTTATATTCCCAAACAATGCTTCCCAACACATGGGAGTTCTCAAGTCAACCACTGGAAGGAGAAGTGTGCAAGAATCACTGTATATTACATACATGCATCAAATTATCACAAGTAACCTGTAAGTATCTCTAACCATGTGTCAATTAAGAATAAAAATACGGCCAGCGCCAGTGGCTCACGCCTGTAATCCTAGCTACTTGGGAGGCTGAGATCAGGATGATCACAATTTGAGGCCAGCTCAGGCAAATAGTTTGTGAGATCCCATCTCCAAAACAACCAGAGCAAAAATGGACTGGAGGTGTGGTTCAGTAGTAGAGTGCCTGATTTGCAAGCATGAAGCCCTAATTCAAACCCATAAAGTTACAGCAACAACAAAAAACCTCTGAATAAGGTGGTGCATACCTGTTAATACCAGCACCTGAGAGGCTTAGGTAGGAGGATGGAAAGCTCCAGGCCAACCTGTACTACACAGTGAGACTCTTGTCTCAAAAAAAAAAAAAAAAAAAGTCAGAACTAATTTAAAAAATAAAAATAAGGAGAAGAAAAAAAAAAAAAAAAAAGGCAGTGTTCAAGGGGCTAAGAGACCAAAGCTTCATTATCAGCCATTTGAAGAGATGCTTAGGTGCATGACATTTGGAAATTAACTACAGACAGAGTGACAATGGTCTTTGAAGAGTATGAATATAAGACTGAATTCTAAGAAATAACCTAAGAAGTTCCAAGCAAATTCTACCCATCTCCATCCATGCACTGTGCTTCACCTCCTGCACTCACCTCTGCTCCCCACTGTGACTTCATTATCTTACTCATCTTCCATTTTTCCTCTGGCTTGAACAAAAATCTCAGACTTCCAGCACACACTCATGATAGACAATTAATATGACGGTGCTTCGTGATGCCTAACTCTTCTGGAACTTACAAGTTAATCAAATGGGACATACCTTTGACCTTATTATCACATGGCACTGTTTCACCCAAGCTCTGATATCACCAACCTCAGGACTCACCACCTTTTTGGAAATATATTTTAAACTTTTATATGTCTAATAATATTAATCTCATTATGAATACCATTCCCTCCCAAGTCCTTTACCCACCAGGACCTATTATCTTTCCAGCCAGAGTTATGGTGATACAAAGAAGTCAGGGAGAATAGGATTAGAGTCATTGCTCTGCTGATTATTGATGGTTCAACTTTCATAACCACTGAACACTGGTTTCTTTATCATCAAAACAGGCATACTACATCTCTTGCAGAATTATTTTGAGTAGCAATACATACTATGAGCTGCTAGTACCCCTACTATAGTCAACATAGACTGGTTCCAGTATCATCCTTGGATACCAAAATCTGCAGTCTCTTGTATAAAATGGTCTAGTATTTACATATAACTTACACAGATCTTCCTGTATATTTTAAAACATCTCTAGATTACTTACAATACCTAATGCAATGCAAGTGCTATGTAAATAATTGTTACACTATATTGCTTAGGGAGTAACAAGGGAAAAAGTCTGTACATGCTTAGTACAATTTTTCCCCTAAATATTTTTGATCCACAGTTGATTGAATCCACAAGTGTGAAACCAGGATACAGAAGGGTCGACTGCAATTTCCAAATTTTGGGCATAATAATCCCATCCAGGTACATGGCTCTAAAAGTTTTCAAAATAATCTCCATTTTAAAAATGGGACTGGAGCTGTCACAAGGTCTTACATATGGGTAAGCTATCAGCAAATGTTAGCTACTCCTCTGAAAGTTAAGTGACTTATTTAAGGTCATACACGTCAAGAACATCGGTTTTCCCATTTTGCCACTCAGTTAACTGCCTCTAATTCTGTGCCTCTGTGTTTATTTGGAGGAGATAAAATGATGAATTACATTCCTTGCACTTCCTGTCTGCCTCAACCACTCTGATGTTTTCTCTTTTGGTTTTCTTTATCTCAGACTCAGAGCAGCTTTCCCTTCCTCGAACCTCTCTCAAAGTTTTTCTAACCACTCATCCTAATAGCTGAAGACTTCTTTCTACAGCAGAGATTGGGACCCAGTATTTGGTGAACTTCTCCCACTACAACAACTTCACGCTCCAGTTCTGTATTTTAATTACTCTTTGGTGGATACTTCAGTCTATTACTTGTGTTTTCTACTGCTGGCCACTGGCAAATGCTTCTTTGGTCTAAAAATCTTGATCACACACTCATCACTAAAACAAGTGAAGAAGGAAAGTAACCTAGAAGCCTGACCAGAATGTTCTAATATTTGACATTCATACCTTCCTTTAAAAAACAGTGCTTAAGAGTTGTTTTCTCTGCCAAGATAATTCCTGGGGGGAGTAGGGGGATAACAGTCTTTTGACAAATGATACTGGAATTGACTACAAATATGCAAAAGAATGAAATTGACCCCTCCTCACACCATACACAAAATAGATCAAAGACTTAAATGTAAGAGCTAGAACTAAAACTCTTACAAGAAAACATGGATATAAGTCTTTGTGACCTCAAATTAGCCAATGGTTTCTTAAATATGACACTAAAAACTTAAGCAACAAAGAAAAGTGTTCAAAGGACAATACTTAAAAGAGCCAAAGACAACCCACACAACAGTAAAAAAAAAATTTATAAACCATATATCTCATAAGGAACTTGTACAAACTGTTACAACTTAATATTAAAAAGACAACCTAATTTTAAAAATGGACAGAAGTCCTAAAGAGACATTTGTCCAAAGAAGATACATGAATGTCCAGTAAGTATAGGAAAATATGCTTAACATCATCATTAGTTACCAAAGGACTGTAAATCAAAATGAAAATGTGAGGGCTGGGGATATAGCTCACTGGTAAAGTACTTCCCTAGTATGCATGAGGCTCTGGATTTAATCCCCAGCTTTGGCACAGGATAAAGAAAAAAGAAAAATGTGATAGTATTTCACACTTACAAGGAGAAGGAGAAGGAGGAGGGAGGGAGGGAGAGGAAGAGAGAGGGGAGAGGGATGGAGGAGGAGTTGGATCCAATGCCAGTTTTGGCACCAATTACCTGTATACATGTTCCTCATGTTTGAAGGTTCTTATGAAAAAATTCTTCGCTGAATCAAGTCTTAGAAAGATTTTCTTGGGATGTGAATCCTTTTTTTTTTTTTTTTTTTTTTTTGGTGGTACTGGGGC